TCTTCAACGTTTCAGCCACGTCGCTCTTCTTGGCCAGCACGTACACCCAAGTCATGCGGGTGTAGACGTCGACAATGGTGAGAAAATACTCAGCTCCAGCAGCTCCAAGCTTCAGGGGGCCCACCACGTCCATCACCACCTCATCAAGCGGTGCCTTTGCCGTTGCCTCCGAACTAGGGAACGGAAACCGGGTGAACTTGGCTTGAATGCACGTCGGGCAGCCAAGCACCTCATCGGGCTCCCCCTTCACACGTATGCCAGCAACCATCTCATTCTTCACTAGCTGCTGCAAGATGGGCAGGGCCACATGCCCCATGCGCCGATGCAAGGTGAGCCAATCACACTCCCCCGTAGCCGAAGTTGGATTGGAGAATGCCGCGCTCGCAATAGCGCCCCACATACTCTCTCCGTAGTCCTCCTCCGCTGCTGCCTCTGGGTTCTCCTCACCCTTTTGCTGCTCCTTGGTTGCTGCACCACTCTCCTTAGGTTCACTGAACTTGCTGGTCCCTCCAGGTTTGCTCTTCTTGAGCTCATTCTCCTTAGTGCGACCGTTCGCGCCATCGTCGCTACCGACCGCTCCATCCTCGGTGCTGATGCTTGCTGCCACTTGCCTCTCCTTAGGCATAGGGACCACTGGGATCTGCCACATCTCGTTGTAGACATCCCTGTCCTCATGAAGGTCCCAAAGAATTCGATCGCCAAGCCTTGCGGTGTAGGTCTTGGCTCCCTTCGAGTTCGTGTCCATGCCGGCCTTTGCCAACCGCCGCACGGAAATCAGGTTTGCAGCAAGGCTGGGCACCCAAAGCACGTTCTTGAGGCCCACCATCTTCCCATCAGCACCCTTGAACATGGCCTTGCCCATGCCTTTCACCTCTGCTCGCTGCCCCAAAGCCGATGTGACATGCTTCACCGGTGACGGCTCGAGTTCGGTGAGCAAGTCCGGGCGAGGTGTCATGCTATAGGTAGCGCCACTATCAATCACCCAATAGTCCAGGGGGTGTAGGGTCACCTTCCCCACAGCTGCTGGCTCCTCAAAGCCTTCATCCTTCTCTGGACCAGCCGGTACTTGCGTCGACACGAAGTAGAATAGACCCGGGTATCGATCGTCGCTCGGGTCCTTGTCGTTGTCTCCGCTCTTCATGTTTGCAGCTCCGCCACCGCGACCGCCACGGCCTCTACGGCCTCGTCCTCTCCCTCCTCCTGCTCCTCTACCCTCTTGGCCTTGAGCAGGGGTCCAACCATCAGGGAGTTTGTAGCAGTCGCGCCACATGTGTCCGCTCTTGTGGCAATAGTGACACTCGCCGTCGAATCGGCCGCGACCGCGTCCGTAGCTCTTGTCGTCGCTGCCGTAACCGCCACTCCTGCGGCCTCCGCCGAAGTTGCTGCCACCAAACCTTCCTCCCCCTCGTCCTCTGCCTCTTCCTCGACCATATCCACGGCCGATGCTCGCTGCCCCAGCGCCATCCGCACTCGCCAACTCACGGCGGCGGAAATCCTCTTGAAGGATAGCTCGCTTCACGTCTTCAAGCGAGAGGCGGGGCAAGTCGCGATTAAGGTTGATGATGAGCGAGGACCATGACTCTGGGAGTAAGGCCAGCAACTTGGTCTTCTTTTGGAGCTCACTGTAGTTCAAATCAGCTCCCTCAAGCCGCGTCAACAAGTCGAAGAATTTCTGCACCCCTTCTTCAACCGCTTCGTCTTCTTCAATTCGTAGTGCCGCCATTTGCCGTTCCAACACCACCGCTACCGCCGCTGTTGCAGGAGCATGTACACCCTTGAGAGCAGCCCATGCCTTTGGTCCTTTCTCTGGTTCACGCTGGAATGGCTTGATGTGACGGATCTGACTGCTCCCCAACGCTTGCCCAAGTAAGAGATAGCCTTGTGCGCTCTTCCGCACCCACGGGCTCTTCTCCGGGTCGTTCTCGGGGCGCTTCTCCGTTCCTTCCATCACCTCCAGCAGGTCATAGTGGTCAAAGATGTTCTCCATCTTGAAGGACCATTCAGCAAAGTTGTCACCGTTGAACTTGTCAAGCCCAAACACCCTAGGCTCATCCCTAGGTGGGCCAAGACTTGGTTGCATGGGCGCCATGGCTGAATCACGGGGTTGGCCTTGAGCTTGAGCTTCTCCACTGCCACCAGCACCTCTGCCACCCCTTTCCTCAGGTCCAGACATTGTCGAAACTGCTCCAAGGGGCTCTGATACCACTTGTTATAGTCACAATAGGCTTGAATGTGCCTAAAACGAAAGATAGAGAGCACAGACGGATTTCTGCACAGCGGCTTCAAACGTTGATAGCGTTCTGCTCACAGCTGCAAATGACTTGATTCAAATTGGATCTGGAGCGTCTTCACGTCGTCTACAATTATCAATTTAGATTGCACGATTTGATAAAGAATTGACGACACAGCGTTGGTTTGAACGAACGGTACTATGGCAGCCACTATAGCCTTAGAACACAAGATAGGAAGAGTTACGAGTTGGGAATGACTCCCAGCTCCTACAAACCCCAAGAGCCGAGGTACAGTGATGTGGAACAGTGCCACACTGTCCCCAACCACGAAGGGTCTCGAAACTACCCTTCACTAGGGCCTACACCAAGTGAAATGTTACACTACACAAAGTAATGTAACTATCTTCAATATCTTGAGGTGTACCCTTTTGGCGAGCTTCGAGATCACTTGAGGCTTGACACCAAGGCTCGGGCTCTTCATCACAAACTCATCCTTGAGTTGTTGATGGGTCTGCTGCACACACCTGCGACACGCCGAACGTTCGACACAGGACAAAATAGAAACCGCGCACGACAAAATAGAAACCGCGCGCGAGACACAAACGACCGCGTAACACGCGTCTAGCGATAACTCGCTATTGACTCGACACACACACTCGACATCATGACTCAACATTCACACACAATTATAAGCATGAAATATATATCATCCCATGCCCTCATACCATTCCATACACACACACATTCACGCACACGGACAACAAGCCGAGTGCAAACCGTAGGGTTGCACCAACAAATTCTCCTCCCGCAGCCTCCGTACGCCTTCATGTCGGCAGCTGCTAACTACCCTTTTCACGACAACTCGACGCGAAAGTTCAGCAAGGCGATATCCGACGCCCTCTTTACCATGACTCTCGCGGAACAAACCAGCACGGAGTGGCCTATGGCGCGGAACGACCCTGCTGTTGTGAAAGCGATGATTGACATCTGGAAGTTTCAAGTTATCAAGGAATACATACCACCCAGCGTTGCGACTGCCAAGGTGAGGCATGCATGCCGTCTGAGTCAGGCTGGTGCACCCAACACGCGTTTAACAAAAAACTTGACTGTGAGCACCCTGTTGCAACTATCATTCACAATTTTTACCGTCTCTGGTCCACACCCATCACTCCCCATACATCCAGTACGCATCCGGAGGGCCGTGGGAGCTACCGACCATGCAAGGGCAGCCCCTTGGATGTCGTATAATTCTACTACTAGTAGTACTGTTTTGGGAATGTCGTTCTATTCCACTTCTGCTAGTGGCACGTGGAACATCTCGGGCACGTCTCCTCAGCAGCACGCGGCCAGCCCTCCACCACCCCGAAATCCCCTCATCCCCGGCGACTACCGTATGATTGATGGGAGCCCGTTAGCGTTCACGGAGGAAGACGCTGGGGACCTCTTGGTGGATATTCCTGAAAGCGAGGTCGCGGTGTATATGAGTGCGATGGTTCTTTTCCCTTATAATATGGATGCTATTGGCGCGTATGCAGGTAAGCTCGCACACTTGGAGACGCAATAATGCAGTGGCATAAGCACACTTCTTACACGCTCACATGCTAACTGTTTGCCTTTTCCACACGATGCGCTAAGATTCCATTACCTTTTGTTGCAATCTCCTGCAGGCGAAACTACTGCTTCCATTCTTCACATGCTTGCCTCTGTTGGCCTTTCTCTCTTTGCCCTCTTGCTGGTGTAACTGCTGTCTTGCTGGTGTAACCTCGCACCTGATGTTACCGCACCTGACCTGACAGCATGATGCCATTCTTATGGCCATGTGCTTTCTGACTTGCATATATGCTTTCTTACGGCTTGTGTGGGTTGGGTAGCTAAGGTATTCGCTTGTGTGGGTTGGGTAGCTAAGGTATTCGCTTGTGTGGGTTGGGTAGCTAAGGTATTCGCTTGTGTGGGTTGGGTAGCTAAGGTAGTGGCTTGTGTGGGCTGGGTAGCTAAGGTAGTTACATGAGGCACAGGCGGAGATATTGCATGAACACATAAGTCATGTGGCTCCGTAACAGCCAGGCAGCAGCTCTGCTCTTCGTCTATGCATGTATGCTACTTCGTATTTGAAATGGGACCCACTCAACAGCACTATCTCATGCAGGGTACGGATTGGCCCCTACCATTCAAGAGGGGTGTGGAAAACTTGGAAAATTGGCTCCCATACCATCACTGGTTGTACTGAAAGCTCTCTCATGGCTCCCATACCATCACTGATTGTACTGAAGCTCTCTCATGGCTCCCATACCATCACTGACTGTACTGAAAGCTCTCTCATGGCTCCCATACCATCACTGATTGCACTGAAAGCTCTCTCATGGCTCCCATACCATCACTGATTGTACTGAAAGCTCTCTCATGGCTCCCATACCATCACTGATTGTACTGAAAGCTCTCTCATGGCTCCCATACCATCACTGATTGTACTGAAAGCTCTCTCATGGCTCCCATACCATCACTGATTGTACTGAAAGCTCTCTCATGGCTCCCATACCATCACTGATTGTACTGAAAGCTCTCTCATGGCTCCCATACCATCACTGATTGCACTGAAAGCTCTCTCATGGCTCCCATACCATCACTGATTGTACTGAAAGCTCTCTCATGGCTCCCATACCATCACTGATTGCACTGAAAGCTCTCTCATGGCTCCCATACCATCACTGATTGTACTGAAAGCTCTCTCATGGCTCCCATACCATCAATGATTGTACTGAAAGCTCTCTCATGGCTCCCATACCATCACTGATTGCACTGAAAGCTCTCTCATGGCGGGAGGGGGGGCCGGCATATATGGCTGCTGCTGCTGCTGCTGCTGCTGCTGCTGCTGCTGCTGCTGCTGCTGCTGCTGTGGCAGCTGATAGTGTTGCTGCTGCTGATAGTCCATGGGAGGAGGAAAGGAGGGAAGGATCCCACCCCCCCCCTGCTGCTGCTGATAGGCCCCTGCGTGAAGGGGAGGGGCACCTGGGGGAGGCATACCTGGCGCATGCTGGTGGGACTGGGGAGGGGCAGAGGCAGGATAGGGGTTGTGGCCATGTGGAGTGAAGGCAAGCGGTTTGTATGGGTACGGTGCAACTGTAGATGCAGGTGTATGGATGTAGGGATAAATGGTAAAGGAGACGAGGCGAGTAGAGGGAATGTGCAGAGGGAAGAGAGAAATGTCAACCAGAGAGGAAATGGAAAGAGGGATCAACGAGGACAAAGAACAGGCGAAGTGAGGGGAATGGAAGGACAGAGAGGCAAGGAAGGAGAAGAGCGGATAGTGACGGGAGAAGAGGGGCAAGAGGGACATGTGTGAGTGAGTCGTGTGTGTCGCGTGTGAGTGTCATGTGCCTGCAAAGTGTGTGGGTGATAGGGGTGAGGGAGCGATGGGAGGCTGCGGCCTAAGATTGTTGCACCCACTCTCGCATGCCTTGGCTTCTCATCAGATTTTCTTTTCAAAGTTCTTGTCAACTCTCCTGCCATTCGTTTCACACAAACCCCTCCTCCTCTTCCATTCCAAATGCCAATATCTCTTGAGCCGTTCCATTCACATGGAATCTCGTTTCCCAGCAGCAAGATTCTCTTTTCATAACCCCTCCCCTCCCCCGCCCACGCTGCTTAATACCCCTTGCATCATTCCCCCTTCCACTCATTCTCTCCCCACCTTCATCACCTTTTCTTGGATACAAGGCAGACTTCCTTTTCCCCATCCCCTCCAAGAACGTGGTTCGGTACAGAGGCGTCAACTGACGGGAAAAGTGTGGGGGAAATTGAGACGCCCTCAAGCTCAACTCGCACTGTCTCCCTCTCACGGGGCAGATGTGCTTCCTCTGACTCCTCTTTCCCTATGCCACACCCCATCACCCTCGCTCCCCTACATCGTCACCTCACACTCTCTGTAATTGCCTTCACCTCCTCTTGTGCTGCTCCCTCCTATTCGTCTCCCCTCCCCTTGGCCACCATCTCCCTCTCTCAGGGAGCGGACGTGTTTCCTCTGACTCCTCCTTCGCCCTTCCCCACCCCATCACCCTCGCTCCTCTACATCCTCACGCTCGGCATCGCAAAGCCTTCCGCAAGGCTGGCGTGGGTAAGCATAGTCTTTTTCTTTCAAGCACTCTTCAAGTTCTCGCTTTGAGGAACATCTAGAAGCGACGCAGCGACATCTCTTTGTTCTCTCCTCTACATTCGCGATCTGGGAGGGTCAGGATATAAAGGTACTCGCTCCTCCGGATGCTTTGGGAGTAGTGAGATGTAAAGGTACTCGCTCCTCTACATGCGCACTCTCAGCGTCGCAAAGGTCAATCCTTCCTTCCTTTCATTCCAATCGTGTACATCCTGTCTTCCCGCACCAAACTCACTTTTGAGTCGACTCCAAAATCACAATGGTCAATCCGACCTTCTCTTTCATCGTGTACTTCCCCTCTTCCCACACCAACTCGCAGCATCCCACCTGGTGCATCTTCTATTTCCTGCTCTCCCACGCCTCCTCTCTCCTTTCTATTTAAAGATGTTTCTTTCACCCCTCCCCTCCCCTCCCATCGCCTGCCCCTTCTGCCCTTACAGCATCCCACCTGGTGCATCTGCTTCTCTCCCACGCCTCCTCCCTCCTGCACTGCGCCATCGTCTACCTGCACATGGTCAAATATCACGCTGCAGCCGTCCACTTCTATCGCTCGCTGCGCTTCTGCTACCGCCGCCTCTGCCCACGCGTCTACTATCTTGAGGGGGGCGATTTCGACGCGCTTCTCTTTGCGCGTTTTGTCAACGACTGGTGTGTTGTGTTGTGTGTTGTTTGTTGGTCGGGGAGGGGTGTTATATATGTGGCTTAGTTGTTTTGATTGCTTGCTGTAAGTGCACCTTGTGTTAACCCACACTTGCTTACATACATGAGTACACACAGACAAACGCACCCACTGGCCCGCTTGCAAACATATCCTCTTAGGCACACACAAATATTCCTGACAATTTCTTCACACATGTTTCTTACGGTATGTACATGGATGGATGACGGTTCTACCTGGTTTACCTATTCTTGTTCCGCTTCTTTGCCTTCCCACTCAGGTCCCAGTTGCAAGGGCCAACTCTCCAGCTACTGTAGCCTGAAGTCGCAGCAACTTCTACCGTAGTGTCTGCTGTCATATCCATAGTGTGTGTTTGTCCGTCCCCTTCTCTTCTCCGAGATGTTATGCATTCTGTATGGATTCTCAAGTGTTTTAAGCTTTTTAAATATCAACTTTCTTCGCTAGAGATGCATCTAGGCTTGCTTAGAATGTTACGTAGAATGTATAGATTGTATAGTCGTTGTTTTACTGTTTTAAATTTCTAAGCCTTTCTCGTCCTCAGGTAAGCCGGGTCGGTTCGTAAGGAGGTAGATTCCTTGTGGTCTAGGCTGTCAAAGTCTAGGGAATGCCAGCAGGACGACGCACGCCAATCGGGAATGCGGCCGCCTAACACATGCCGCTGTGTGAATGGCCAACTCCTCCCGAACCAGTTGTGCTGGCCCGTTTTGTTCGGGTCAACTATCTGTGGAGGGCCCGCACAAGCAACCTTGCACTGCTGTCAGCGATGAAAAGTCAAACACTTTCTTGACTGATCCACTGCCTGCGATTGGTGGATCGTAAACGCTTCGCGCATCGTGAATGTTTTGTTGTGCATCGAGATTGCCTCCATCCTCCTCCTCGACTCCATCGAGACTGCCCATTGCCAGCCATAACATGTCTCCTCATTTCTTCGCCTTCTCGTTGTATCATTTGCCTATCTTTCCCGCAATCGCCACCTCTCTCTCCTCTCTCATCTTACTACGAACTCCTCAATTCCTTCTGTTAGTAGGGTTGCGGTGTGTAACAAGGGATCCTGCAGACGAGCTACTGCTAGAGAATACAACCGCGATGGCCAGTTCGTTTTCCGGGCAGCTTTTCGGCGCCACCGGAGTGGCCCTGCTGTTTTTGGCCGCGTTGCTCGCCCAGCTATCCGTCACCACCCGCGCAATTCCCGTGACCGAGTTGCAATCACCATTCAAGTCATACACCGGTATTAATATGAGACTCATGAAGCATCTGTTCGAGCTGGACGGTACTACAGACATCTCCAACGTGACGATACTCCTCCCGTCGCTCGACGCCTTATACGACGCGTCTGAGAACTACCCCAAGCATGATAACGCCACGCGCAAGTTCGACCAGGCGATCGCCGACGCGCTCACGCTCATGTACAACGCGACCATGTACCCCGGGGATAAGTGGGTCATCGGGACGAACATCTCCACTGCGGTTGACAAAGCGATCCTGGACATCTGGAAGTTTCAGATCGTGAAGCAGTACATCCCGCTCGAAGTCGCGAAGCAGAAGGTACGTCTATCATGACTGGACCGCAGTGGAACGCTGTGGGCCACTGTAAACCGCAGTAGACCGCAGTGGACCTGCAGTGTATGTTCACGCATCTGGAGGTTTCAGATTGTGAAGCAGTACATCCCGTTCGAAGTCGCGAAGCAGAAGGTGATAATCTGAACCGCCGTACATCATGCCTGGACCGGAGTGGGCCGAAATGGACCGCAGTGGACCGCATTGAACATGTTTACGCATCTGGAAGAACGGGAGTGCAGTAATCCGGGCGAATCAAGCTTCCCAACAAGGCCTGTAAAGTAGAAAATGGAATCACTCCGTTTTGGAGTGACTGTTATGTAGGAAATGACAGTGGTCCTCGTATTTGAGAGCCTGAGAACGGATCCCACCGCGGCATCCCATCCCACCGTACCGTAGTCACGTTTTCTTTTCAGATGACTCGTTATTCAACCGTCTCGCCCTCCCCGCCGCTCTATACCCCCTATTGCCAGTACTCATCTATCGGCGGATATTGGGAGCTCCCAACAATGCAGGGACAGCCTCTCTGGCTGTCGTACGATCCGGTGCATCGCGGCATGTGGAACTTCTCGGGCATGTCTCCTCAGCAAAAGGCCAGCTCGCAGCTTCCGAGAAGCAAGATCATCAACGAATACGGCTATGTGGTGAATGATGGAACCCCGTATGCAACCTCTTCGGTGGAAGAAGTACGTGTGGTGGATGATTTTCCCAGCAGCGAGGTCGTGGTCTACCAGAGCCATCATGTTCTTATGCCTTATAACGTGGATGCTCTTGGCGCGTATGCCGGTACGTACACATGCACAGTGCACGTACTCACACACATGCACGCGCGCGCGCACACACACGCACACGCAGTGCACACACACACACAGACACACACACACACACTCACACACACTTGCACGCACACACACACATGCGCTTGCATGCACGCACGATGCATCTAAGTAATCCAAACAATCTAGACGTATTCCTCTTACATAGTGCCACTTGATAACTCTAAGATCCCCCTCCTTGGTTCTTCCATTCTCCTGCAGGAGCCACTGCCTCCATCTTCCACCTGCTTGCCTCCATTGGCCTGGCTCTCACTGCATTACTCCTGCTGTAACCGCACTCCTGCCGCTGTAGCTGCACTCCTGCTGTGACCGCACTCCTGCTGCTGTAACCGCACTCCTGCCGCTGTAGCCGCACTCCTGCCCGCACTCCTGCTGCTTTAATCGCCGCGCTCCTGCTGTTGTAACCGGCACACTTTTGCTGCTGTAACCGCTGCACTCTTGTTTCACAGCAACGTGTTGTTAGCGAGATCAGCAAATTGAATGGTAGATGTGCCAAACCATAGACCCATCAGGTGCTGTCCGCAGGGCTTCACTTGCTCGCACGGCTTGGTGTCGCAGGGGAAGCCATTGCTTTGGCAGCTTGCAATGCAATGCTTGTTGCCAATTCCATCCCATCTTATCTAGTCTCACATCCAGCCTTTCAGTATTTCCCTCTCTACACAAAAGTGGTTCTGCAATGGCCTCCCTGGAAGCCCGGCATTGTGAAACATACACCGGAACTTAAAAGTACATGCTTTCCAATGCAGGAAACAATCACCAGCATATGATACCAACAACTATCCATAATGCAATGGCAATAGGCAGGTACTGTCACGCCTGCCACAGCACTATACCCCTGTGTTTGCTTGCTCCTCCACTGGAAGAACATCCAAGCCACCACCTAATGCCGCTCCGCAAACCTCTCAACCAAACCCCACCCCACATACACACCTCTCAACTCAACCGAACCCTGCCCTCACACCTGCCAACCTGCTGTAAAGCTTTAAAGCTCGTGCAGGAAGTCCGAACACCTCATATAATCTCCAATCTACACCAGGCCTAGGAGGGCCATATTGCCCCGGACCTGCTGGCCCAGGCCCGGGGTACTGTTGGGGAGGGTAGGGTTGGGATGGAGGTCGGGAATACTGCTGCTGTGCACCTGGGGGAAAACCTGGGTACTGTTGTGGCCCACCTGAAGGGCCACCTGGGTACTGTTGTTGAGCACCTGGAGGGGCATCTGGATACTGTTGTTGGGCACCTGATGGACCACCTGGGTATGGGTGTTGGGGACCCTGCTGTGGTGCATACTGGGATGGGGGCGGCATGTATGGCTGTTGCTGATACTGATGCTGCTGCTGCTGCTGCTGCTGAAATTGTTGCGGCTGCTGATAGTGTTGCTGCTGCTGGTATCCCATGGGAGGAGGAGGGTACAATCCCGGGTGACCCCCCTGCTGCTGCTGATAGGCCCCTGGGTGAACGGGAGGGGCACCTGGGGGAGGCATACCTGGGGCAGGCTGGTAGAGCTGGGGATGGTGGGGGGCAGGATAGGGGGCGTGGCCAGGTGGAGGGTACGCATGAGGCGGGTATGGGTATGGTGGAGCAGCAGATGCAGCCGCAGGCGCATCACCACCGCCAGCAGCATTACCACGCCCTCCCCCTCCCCCTTCTCCGCCTCCTCCCCCTCCCCCTCCTCCTCCTTCCCCCTCCCTGTTGCGAGTGCGTGCCCCCATCCTCTCAGGGTTCATAGACGGATACATAGAAGCAGACGTCGCCGGACCTACCGCCGAACCTGCCGCAGCCCGAGGTAGCAACCCGAAGCTGCCCCCAGCCGAACCCTCTCCCGCACCACTCCCCCCAGCCGCACCACCCGACCCCCCTCCATCTCCCCCCTCTCCCCCCTGCGTCCCCTCACCTTCCGCTCCCCCATCCCCCCCACCCGGCCCCCCCGCTCCCCCCGCTCCACCTTCCAGCAACCGCTTTCCTCCCCCGTCGCCCCCTCCTTCCAAAGCCTCTGCTTTGGGTCACCCCGAGTCTAGCTTGAGCCGAATCCCTTTGACTATGAGCTTGTTGGCCAGCCCCTCTGCTGCCTTCTCAGCATCCTCTCGCGTGGTGAATGTGACGAAGGCACAGCTGCGCGGGGTGATGAGACGGATGGACTCGATTTCCCCGTACGCATAGAACTTGTCCCTGTTCTGCACACGGGCGGGGGAGGGAGTGGGGGAGATAGTGAGAAGAAGAGCCCCTCAGCGGCCTTCTCGGCATCCTCGCGCGTGGTGAAGGTGACGAAGGCACAGCTGCGCGGGGTGATGAGACGGATGGACTCCACCTCCCCGTATGAATAGAACTTGTCCCTGTTATGCACACGGGCGGGGGAGGGGAATGGCAGGGGAGGAGAGGGGGGAGGAAGGGGGCGGGGTGGGAGAGCGACACACACACACTTATAATCAGCCTCTGTGATGCGTGGGAAGTCGAGTCCATCCGCCCCAAAAAGCGTCCTGATGCTCGTGTTGTCCACACCACACCAGACCACCACACCGCACCGCGCCGCACCACATTGCACCGCAGCACACCACTCACTTGAGATCAGCTTCAGTAATTTAATGGCTGAATCTGGTTACTCGCCACGCAAATGAATCTGGTTACCAGTCTGGTAACAGTTTGCCCAGTAACCCCTCACCTGGTTACCGCCTTGCTGCAGCGCCGCCACCTCCTCAGGGGTGAACTTGGCCATTGACACGGACTTGAGGCGATGCGTGTACTCGCGGCTGGAAACGGGCAAGGGAAGGAGGGGGGGAGACGGAAGAGATGTGGTACAGCAGATTGTTCAGGATAGAGTAAATTCTTTTTGCGAACTGTTATGTCAATCGGGCCATGAAACCAGGGTTATTGCAATGCTTTCGCACAAGCGGAAATGGTTAAGTCGGGAAAGGGGAAGGCGGGAACGAAGCACGATGAGAAGTGTGATAATGGTGACTCTTGCGTTGACTCCGAAGTCACGCTCTCGCACGAGCGCTAAGGGTGAAGGCGGGAAAGGAGGGGTATGTGGAGTGAAGGAAGACTCACTGAAATCCGCTGCACGCGACGCAGACAAACTTTGCGAAATTCGTGCACACATATTGAGGGCCCTGCGACAATCAGGGTAACGCATGGATGATCGTGGTATGATAAAGCGATGTAGCAGTTAATATTAAGATTTACATGGTCTTGTTGCGAAGGCTGGATCGAAATAAAGAACGATGTGTGCGATATGTGATCTCGAAGCCGGCAACGGATTAACGCTTAACGCGGAGAAACGTAAAGTCGAAATTATTACATTCTAAACGACGACGCATACCCCGTAGCATCTTGAAAGGAGCTCGTGCAACTCATCGCAACTAGCTTATCGTAATGCCAACAGGCTTAGCAATCTCGAACAGCCTGTGTGAATAAAACAAACGCTTTTCGCTGCGAGGAACAGATCTACACTGTTTACCGGCTCGTTATGACTTCTAAAAGGTTACCTGGCGATGCTACTTGTAATGAATATGAATTCATTACTGTAGAGGCTGCTCCTAGCGAGGACAACCCCGAGCATTTCGCGTAGTTTCGAGGTTCGGCCTACACTTCGGACCGAACCACTGCTGAGTCGCCCCGCACCAATCGCGACACTTCCAACCCATCCACGTCCCGAAATCCTCGCCTACCACGGTTTCAACCCTATAAATGCATGCCTCTTTATCATTCTCGACATTCTGTATTCGACATCCTTTTTATAAAGTCTTCCGCGCACTCTTCTTAGTACAACTCATAACACTTGGTATCAGAGCCTAAGTTCCTAGGTTCCCTGTTTTTTAGAGTGTATTACCCCTCGGGGCGGGGGGGGGGGGGAAGGACAGGGAAAGATGCCGTAGTGACAGGAGCAGCGCAATAGCCGGCCAGGAGAACGGATAGTTGCTCCTAGCGGCCATGTTTTTACGGGCGCTCCTGCTGCACCGACGGATCCTTGCCCCCGACGGTCGAGATGGACCGTGGCCTCCCTCCCCCCGGGTGGCGGACAGCTTTTGCTGTCGTCGTTTTTAATTGCGTGCGTTGATTTCGTCGTTTCCGTTAATCTCGGCGCTGTTTTTATGCGGCAGTTGGCGTAAGGAAGATTGTCGTCACTACATGCGCGAGATTCTCGGAGCAGCAGTCGTGCGAGTTGAAGTTTTC